ATATATATATATATATATATATATTCATATATACATGTATATATATATATGAATACATATATATATATATGAATATATACATATATATATATATATGAGTATATACATATATGAATATATACATATATATATATATGAATATATACATATATATGAATATATATATGTGAATATATATATATATGAATATATACATATATATATATATATGAATATATATATATGAATATATACATATATATATATGAGTATATACATATATGAATATATACATATATATATATATATATGAATATATACATATATATATATATGAATATATACATATATATATATATATATATATATATATATATATAATATATATATATATATATTCATATATACATGTATATATATATATATGAATACATATATATATATATGAATATATACATATATATACATATGTATACATATATATATATAAATATATATACATATATATATGTATATATACATATATATATATATACATATATATGTATATATATATATATATATATATATATATATATATATATATGTATATATATATATATATATATATATATATATATATATATATATATATATATATATATATATATATATATATATATATATATATATATATATATTCATATTTATATATATACATATATATGAGCAATTATAAATTAGAAGAAAATCACTTGATAAAATTTTTTTTCACTTAACAGTGTTTCATCAATAAAGACTCATCAGTAATGCATTTCTGATGAGTCTTTATTGATGAAACACAGCAGTGTTGAATAAAACATATAACTACCTCTCGAAGGGCATTACACACAAGAAACATTCTAGCTTACATAACTGGTAATAACTCTTCCCTTTCATAAAAAGTGGCAGATAGTCTACAACGATAGTACATTGATAATAAAATGTTTCTCAACATAGCCAAATACAAAGTTATTTATATTGGCTTGAAAAGCCAGTCATAACATTAAAAAGCAAAATTCTTGAAGTTGTTAACTTATACAAATACCTTGGCATCATCCTCAACTTAAGTCTCAATTTTGACAAGAAATGATCAAGCCTACATAAGAAAATTGCCCCTAATGAGTATCTTTTTAGCAGCTCTGAATATTGGGTCAATGGTCTCAACCCATGCTTATATCTGCCTACCGCGCTTACTGCTTTAGCCACTTTACTTACAATACAGTTATCCTCACATCAATGACCAATAAAATAAAATCTAGGTTGTAAGTCTTTCAAAATGGTCTTCTAAAAGCTGCTGGTATTAATCCACATGATGCAAGCTACTATGGCATCCTTCCTATTGAAGAACATCTTGATTTCGTATGTCTGAGCACACTTAAATGAATTTTAAACATACCTAACTATCCAATCACATTTGGTCTACATTAAAAAAATCACTCATATTCCTTTTTCAAATTTAATACTAGATCTGCAAAATCAACAATGTATTTAAACACATATCTACACAAATTTATCTGCCACCCTCATAATGACGCAAATAAACCTGGAGCTAACTCTACTTTTTCCATTACCTGAATTCACTCAATAGAATATTCGAAATTTTTTGTAAACTCACATATATATTATATATGTGAGTTTACAAAAAATTTTTTGTAAACTCACATTGGTAGATGGAACATAATTATAAACTAAAGCAACAAAAATTAGAGACAGCAAACCACTATTTTCCATATTTACGGGAACAAAGATTCCAGATGCATCTAAATTTCCTTTGCGTTCAAAAGTACATTGCAGTAAAAGCAAATATATTGATCAAGAGATCTTTATTGACTTTTTAAATTATTTTAATAAGTTTTGTGCAAAAGTGGATGTGAAAAAAGTATTGTTATTTTTGGATGGTCACAAAAGTCATGTGACTATTGAAGAAATTAAATTAACAATAGAGATGGATATTGAAATAATATAGATTCCACCTCATAGTACACATCGTCTTCAACTACTTGACACACATGTAATAAAGTAGTTAAACAAACGTGGTCTGAAGCCTTGCCTAATTACTTAGCTGAAATTACAAAATTAAGCCTAATTACTTAGTTATGAACTTCTTTGTCTCATTGCAACTTTCACATTATTTTTAACAAAATATGGCCCAACATACTCACAGAAAGAGGATTGAATGTTAATGGATTTTAACATTGCAGTTTGCATCACCTAAGAAACACAGTAAGATTTCAAACACAAAAAAATAAAGGGGTGTTTAATAAAACAACAATTAACCAGGGAGACCGAAATTTATCTATTGTACCTTCTCAAAAAAAAAAAAAAAAGCAAACCTTCTTACTCAAAATGCCACATTACTTTTATTACAACACCAGATAATTTTAAGTTTATAAAGGAGCCTCCTACTATGCAATAAGTAATGTAGCCAGTGTTAAATAGAAGTCAAAAAAAGATCAAGATAAATCAGTCAAAACAAAAAACAAAGAAGTTTTTTTTCAGCTAATTCTGATCACTCAAGTTCATCTAGCGGTTTTATTCTAAAAAATAACACTGATAAATGACTTTTGTTGCGACTGTGCAACTGTTTGGGGAAAAGCAAATGAAGATTGGCTTAAATTGTTGCAATCAGTGGGCATGTGAATGATGTTTTGAAATTAATGCATATATAAATCTTTTGAATTCTTAAATAGTTATAGTGGTGATATGATTATATTTTATCTTAAATAGTTATAGTGGTGATATGATATTTTATTATTGCTGCCTTTTCCACTAGTAAGAAATTTCGTCTATTGCCCAAGTGAGGTATTTTCAATTAGTTTAGTTATACTGACGAATTATCCCCTCATATATATATATATATATATATATATATATATATATATATATATATATATATATATATATATATATATATATATATATATATATATATATATATATATATATATATATATATATATATATATATATAAATTTTTACATAAATAAAGTTGATATATATATATATATATATATATATATATATATATATATATATATATATATATATATATATATATATATACAGTATGCAAAAAAAATAATCGTACACTTGAAAAAAAATCAAAATTTTAAAGATTGCATCAAAAAATTAGTTTTTTGTTAAAATATTTGAAAATTTTTTTTAGATATCTTATCAAGTTTTGTTTTAAGAATTTATTTGTGTATTGGCGAGTTAATTGCTTTTCATACCTATTGAATTTTACACAATTGATCTAATGATGCATATAATTGACTGCAAAAAAAAAAAAAATCGTACAGTTTAAAAATAATGTCAAATTGATCAAACTTCATGAAATTTAGTATCGAGTGGGGCCTCTTTTGGCCTTGATGGTCTCAGCTAGATGATTTGGCATTGAGTTGACCAAATTTTAGGTTTCTTTTGTTGTTATATTATCCCATGCGCTCATTATAGCTTCTTTTAAGTCGTCTTTTTGTCTAAATGCTCGGTCACCAATTTTTCTGTCCAAAATATACCACAAATTTTCTATAGGATTCAAGTCCGGACTTTGAGACGGCCATTCCATAACATTGATGTTATTTGTGTCAAAATATACCTTTGTTTTCTTAATAGTATGTTTTGGATCGTTATCCTGCTGCAGTATAAAATCCTTTCCCATTCTCAATTTTGTAGTAGATGGTCGCAAGTTGGCTTTAAGAATTTCACAATACATTGAAGCATTCATTTTTTCATCAATAATTGTCAAGTTCCCTACCCCTTTCCAACTCATACTACCCCAAACCATCACATTTCCTCCTCCATGCTTTACACTACCTCGCAAACAACTTTATAAGCTTCTTCTTTTTTCGCCACACTTTTTGAACGCCATCTGATGAGACAAGGTTGTATTTGGACTCATCTGACCACAAAATTTTTTTCCAATAAGATACCGGCATTTTTTCGTACTTCTTTGCAAATTCTAATCGACGTTTTATTTGTTTTGAAGATAAAAGAGGTTTTTTTCAAACTATTCTACCTTTATATCCTTGTTCTCTAATACGATTTCTAATTGTTTGAGGGGTTACTGTGATATTGTGATCTTCTTGAACTTTTAAAGCTAATTTAGCTGCCGAAACAAATCTATTTTTCTTCACATTAATGATGATATTGTGATCAATTGCACTAGTGGTGTTGTGTTTTCCTCCTCTGCCAGCCACACTAGCAACAGTTCCAATCAGATTATGCTTCTTAACAATTGAGGACACTGTCGTAATTCCTGTTTCTTTTTGGATCTGACGGTAGGATTTTCCTTGATTTTTTAAATCAACTACGAGGCTTCGTTGATGGAAAGACAAATGTTGTTTTCTTGACGCCATTTTGCTGAAACACTATATTTTATTTCTAGAACAAAAGTGTATTTAAAAAATTACTATTTTTAATTTTACTAACTAGTTTATTTGTTCAATTCGCTCAATTTATGCTAAAATAACGACCTATTTTGTCAAAGTAAGATTATTTTTTTTGCAGTCAATTATATGCACCATTAGATCAATTGTGTAAAATTCAATAGGTATGAAAAGCAATTAACTCGCCAATACACAAATGAATTCTTAAAACAAAACTTGATAAGATATCTAATAAAAATTTTCAAATATTTTAACGAAAAACTAATTTTTTTAATGCAATCTTTAAAATTACGATTTTTTTTCAAGTGTACGATTATTTTTTTTGCATACTGTATATATATATATATTTAATCACTGTGCTAGCAAGACTGCTTTAAGAGTAAACAACTTAATTTATGTAAAAATTGCCTGCTTAATTTATGTAAAAATTGTACTTGAGTTTGAGTGTATGTGTGTGTACTTCTACATCTAATCTTTCTATAAATAAAATAATTTTGCACACTTATATTAATGGTGCTAATACTTTTTTATTACTTCTCTTATATATAAATTTGATGTCAACTTAAAGAGTTTTTGAATCAATAACGAAATAATTTAAATACATAATAAATTACCATTTGGTCCTTTTACCCCCAGTTTATCACAACTTAAAAACTGTATTGTGCCAAGTGCAATATATCCAATTCCAATGCCATTTTTTAATGCCACAAAATAAACCTATTCAAATTTTAATAAAAAAAAAAACTCATAAGTATAATTTAATATATAATAAACAAAAAGTATTAAAATGATTACATTCTTTTTATTTTAAAAGGTTGATATACTTACTGATGAAACATCACCATGATTTTGCAAACTGATAAAACTGTTAACCCATTGGTCAAGACCTTCTCGTCGATAAAAAAAAGCTAATTCTTTTGTGGTAGTGTTAGAATAACCCAATATGACAAGACTAACAAATCCTGTTCCTCCAAATTTAAACTGAAATGACAAACATGTACTAGTAACAGCTAAAGAAATTGATGCCAAAAGGTCTTGATTGTCATTTTGGATTGCACTTGCATGTATGAAACCACCTGGAAAATAAATAATACATATAAATCTATAGTTCAAGCAGTGATGGGAAATCCTTATTGCAAATACAAATTCATCATCTTAATCTATAAGTTATTCAAAACATTACAAAAAATTTAACATTTTTTTAGAAACATACCAATAAAAAATAATAAAAAAAAATTACAATGAAAAGTAGAAAAATTAAATCCTTACCAGGTTTAGGCAACAAGTATGTAATTACTAAAACACTTCCTGGTTGCAAAACAACACCATTAAACATAACAATGATTGTCAATGGTTTAGCATAATTTACAACTTTAAGCAGGTGACTAAGCAACAGTGTTAAATCAGGACTAGAAAAGTTCTCATTTGAATTTATGGAGTCACACCATTTAGTTTCAACTTTCTCCGCATTGTTTTCAAGCTGCATTATTATACTGGAACATGTATCACTTTTACTTGAAACTAGACTGCCTTTTATAAATACTTGTTGAAGCCTTATCTCTTGAAAGTTCAACAATACTTTATCAAAATATGTTGCAGAGTTATCTAAAATATGCACATTCAATTCCTCGCTAAAATAGTCATCAACAGTCATTAAAAAAATATCTGATAATCTGCTGGAGTATTCGACAGTGCTTGATATTTCTATAAAATATAAACCAACAAAAATAAATACAACATTTTAAAACTATAAAAATTTCTATTTGAAATAGGTATATATAATAGTTTTAAGGTGTGACCCAAAAATAGTGATTTATATCAGTTTCAAAATTAAAACAATGAAGAATTTAAACCAGCATGCTATTTGAGCTCTTTATTTTAGCTAAAAGGTTTTTATTAAAATATAGAAGAGATCTGTAATATTAAAATATAAAAGAGATATTTAATTTTAATACCAATAACTTTATAGAGTTAATAAGGCTGATTTTCTGTATATCAAATCTGAAATTCAGATGTTACTAATTTTAAATTTAGTTTAAAGCAAAGTTCAGTTTTTCAAACAATGAAACAACAACAAACAGTTGATGTTACTAATAAATAGTTAATTAATCAATAATGATGAACTTGCATGAATTACTTGCAAATCGAAGATAATAAAGATAGAATGGTGGAAATAGACAATCCAAAATAAACAAATTAACAGCTGACTTCACATGATATAAGTATTTTGTATACAAACAAAAAAAATTGAAAGAAAATAAGAAATAATTTTATTATACACAGAAACTTGACATACACCAGTGGAATATTTAATTTTAATATCCTATCATTGATATCATTTCGATATGATTTAATATCATTGATTGAAAATTGAGAACTTTTATATAGGTAAGATGTAAACAATCAGAGTACCTCTGATACTTTTGGTATTTTTACTTTATTGAAGTGAATAAAGTTTTCACGCATGCTTCATTGAGATTAACAAAAACACCAAGTGTCAAAGAATGTGTGTCAAAATAGTGTCAAAGCTTTTAAAATTTATTTGAATAAGTGAATGTGTTGTAGAATGTAAAGCCATTTGTATAGACATTGACATTTTACGAAAAAGTTATTAACTCATATTACACATAGATTTTATGTATTATCATGTTACACATAGATTTTATGTATTAAAATTTAGTAAATAATAAAATCACCCAAAAATTAAATTGACTAAACCAAGTATTAAAATGACAGAAACAAATATTAAATGCCTTTTAATGATATTATCTATTTATTTATTTTAAATAAATAATTTACTTGAGTAGGGAACTTTAAAAAAAATTTTAAAACTTTTTGGCTTTTGGATTCAGATTAATTAGATAAACTTAATTTGTTTAAAAAAAATTACAATTATTTTATTTAAACTTTACAACTATTTTATTTAAATTTAAGACAAATACATATTATTTTTGCAAAAAAATAACATGTTATAGTAAAAATTAAGTTTATTGTGTTTCAAAATTCCTCACATGTCTTCTCCAAAAGATCTATTTTTTATAGATTTCAAATCATTTTAAAAATTTGTATGTGTAATTTAAATTTTTTAAATACAATTTAAAAAATTAGTATTGAATTACTCTTATATCAGCTTAATTTCTGCTAACATACATACATCTACAATCATCTCCATGCAAACAATTATTGCTTTGTTAACTGTATTAAAAATTGTCTTTTGCTTCCAATAAATTAGCATTTATTTATATTTATATATCATTTTACCCTAGTCTTAATCCCTTTATCTTATGATATTATTTAACCCCAGTCTTAATCCCTTTGTCTTATTCGATCATCTGTTGAATATTAATTTTGTTGGTTTAAACCTAAATTATTTTTCCAAAAATTTTAAAATGCTGACTTTGAACTAAACATTTTTTTAAGAAAAAAAATTAAAAAACATTAAGAGCATGTTAACATTCTTTTTTTTTTAAATAAGTACTTTTTTTTTCATTTCGTTTTCTTAGTTAACTTAACTTTTTATTATTTTTGTTATTAACTTTTTTGTTTTAAAATTAATTTAAAAAAACTTAAGATAATTTTTTATTTAAATCCAACTATTTATTTTATAATGTGATTAAAAATTTATTGTTCTATTTTTTTTTTTTTTCTTATCTGTTTCTATACTAACTTAACTATATCTAACTTAACTCTTTTTTTATTACAAATATTCGATTGTTTGTGAGGACTTATCAACATTATACTTATAACCAATGCAAGACATGAAAAAAATTAACTTGGAGATATTAGGACTTGTGCAGTGATATCTAAATAAATGTTAAATCAATTGAAATAATTAAAATGAAGTTAAAAAATTAAAATGAAGTTAAATGTATAAAAAAAAAGTGTTTGAAATGAATTAAAAGAATTTCAATATTGTATTTCTTAACATTCATTATTTATATAATAAAACATAAAAACTTTGATTTTATTATCATGGTTTATCAAATAGATAGTAACAAATACACAGAAACAGGTAGTTACAAATAAACAAAAACAGATAGTAACAAATAAATAGAAACAAATAGTAACAAATAAACATAAACAGATAGTAACAAATAAACAAAAGGCTAAGGAAAAACTGTTTCCCAAAAGTGAATCTTAATTGTTTAGTTACAACAAAGGCGATTACAACTCAATAGCAATCTTTATTGCATCAATCAACTGGTATACTTTATTTCTACATAAAACCACAGGTCAAATGTTACAGAGTTATGTTAAAGTTAAGATATTTCAGAATAAATTGCCAACTAAAATGGTAAAATAAACCAATCCCTAAAAAGCACTACTTAAAAAGCGTGATTTTTTCATCTAATGCCAAATGGAACGCACATATTCAAACAGTTGTCTCTTCTTAATAGTCCTTACAAATTCTTAGTATGAAAAAACTAACTTTTATTAATGAAAATACAGTTTTCAAGTTATATAAAGTGTTTACAAGACTACCTTTAATAATTTTATTCTGGCATCAAAACTGTGCAAAGTACTTGGTTTGTCAAGGGTTGCTTAAGTAGAGTAAAGTTGCTCATTTTTGTATTTTAAAAGACATTTAAGGACAAAAATGGTGCAATTCATTTTATCTATTGAAGCAGAAATAGCAGCTCAATTAAATTTAAGAAGTGTTGGACCAACTTGCAGCTAAAATGAAAAGGTAAAAAACCTTCATTAGATTTTCTACTTACTAGACTTACATAATGTTACATACTGGTTTTTATTTTATTAAATCAAAACAAAGAGTTTGAAACAAAGAGAATATAACTGAAAAGACAAAGTAAAAATATGTAATTTTTTAATGAGCAATGTCAGTAGTAGCATAATTTTCAACAAAATACTGCGTAATTATCATTATATAAAGTTAACCAATGACATGCCACTTTAAAAAAAAAATTATCTAATGATATTGTTTCAAAACACCATAAGCAATCAAAGCATTGCAAATATAAGATGGAAGTTTAGCAAAATTTGTGTTAGAATGAGTTAGCTATTGTTATTTTTTCATATTGTGCTTTTTGAACAAATAATAATAAATTTCTAGATTAGAATTAAATTAATAAATGTCTAGATAAGAACTAGTAATATTTCTTAATTATAGTAATTTGTTTAAAAATCAAGCAAATATACAGAAAATAAAATCCTAGAGAGATATTATAAGTTTCTTGTGTGAAAAAACATTCTTTAAGAACGTAACAAACCTGTAGTTAAATAAGGAAGAAAAAGAAAGGTTCAAACAAGTAGAGAAAACTTTGACATTTATACCTAGTATCAAGGTATACATGTCAAAGTATGAATGTATTGATTACTTTACATAGATCTTGATTTTTGTGTCAATTAGATCTTGATTTTTGTGTCGCTTGAGATTAGAAATGATTATTTACTTAAAGCAGAATTATGCTTAATATTTACAGCAGCAAACACTGTTGGTGTTTTACTCAAACTGGAAAAAGCAAAAATATCAGGATGTAATAAGATAATAGCTATGTCATTTATTTTATTTCATTTATGCAAAACACATTATTAACACACACAAACATTTTACAAAGAAAAAAAGGAAATGTGTGGGTTGATTTAAAAACTATTTTTTATTTACTTAAATTTAATTACAATTAAGTTAAAAAGCAAATTTGTGAAAATCAAACTTGTGAAAACACTTTTTGTTTATAAAGATAACGATTAAATTAATTATTTGCAAGTATTATAATAAATTATAACATATTATAAATTATTAACAAGTATTTTAATACTTTAGTGATACAACTTAACTCCATATCACAAATTGTTGATATCTGAAATTATGTACATAATAGAATTTTATAAAACACAGTTTATTGTATTTATTATTTCTTTTTAGATAAATCAATATAATACAAGCATTTTTTTAATGTGTTTATTGGTAAAAAAACTTCAAATATGTTGTAGGCCCTATATTTTGTATTGAGGTACTATCAATTTTAACATGATTTAAAATATCTTTTTTTTAAAACAAGATCTTTAAAAAGGGACGTTTTAAAAAGTTATATATTAACAATATTTTAACTATTTTAACAAATAGTTAATAATATTTTTTGAAATCAAAGTGAAAATAAAAATTGGTTTAGATAAAGCACCATATTATTAATTATTATAATATACTTATAATTTAAGATAAATTTAGTTTCAAATAAATACATATTTTTTAATTTTTATCAGATAAATAATTTTAATAAGTTTGATAAAAAACCTTTTACTGATTACTTTACCTAAACAACAATTACCAACTACTAACAATTTTTTTATTAACAGTAAGTAATTTAAGTATGTCAAAATTTGCTAATGTTGAGTTAGTGGTAAATTACTAATTGTAATAAAAGTAATTTTTTATGAAAACTTACCAAGTGTTTCACATGGGCAAACTACATTTTTACAATAACAATCTGAACCATGTTTAAATCCTGTGGGAGGATTTGCATCTAAATTACTCCAGTCTAGTAAAAAAAAAAAGATATAAACAAGTTTAAAAGTTTTTTAACTTAATAACTATTTAGTTATAAGTATTAATTGTTAAAATATTATAAATGCATAAACAGTATAATGAAATATTAGTTTTATTATGCAAAAAGTATGTAGTATGAGTAATTTATTAGTAAATTAAGTTCATTATGTTTATGAAAAAAAATTCATTATATTTTGAAGATCTTTTAAATAAATTAAATGTGTTATAAAGGCATAAAAAAAAAAAACCTGACAAAAAAGAAATCTAATTACTAATTCAAATTTGTTATTATCAAACTAATAATAAGAAAATGGATTAACACTTTTAAAAAAATAAGTTACTAAGAAAATAAGTTTATGAATATAAAAGTTAACAGAAAACTTAAAAAACTGCAATTTTTAAAAAATAATGGAGAGAATATGAATGGAATGATGAAAAAATATATAAATAAAACACAAGTATGAATGTTTTTTAAAAATGCAAGAACCAATCAATGGGAAAGAATGTGATTTAACAGAATGAAACCACAGAAAAAATATTTTTGTTAGAAGACACATTAATGCATAAGATGGTATCTTGTAATAATAATATTAATAATAATATAAATAACAATAATAACAATAGTAATAACAACAACAACAAAAACAACAACAACAACAATAACAATAACAACAACAACAAAAACAACAATAACAACAATAATAATAAAAATAATAATAACAATTTAATTATAACAAAAGTTGTTATAGTTGTTGTTATTATTTCTTTTACAAAAAATAATAACAAAAACTATAATAATAAAAACACAAATAATGATGAGATATAATAACAGCATGTTTTAGAGTAATGTTAAAATTAACTGCTAATGAATTTATAATTTAAAATAAATTTAACTAAAATATAAAAAATGACAACAACAACCACTCTTTATAAAAAAAAAATTAAAAGAATTTTACATAAAATCATATCTTTCACTGAAATACTAATTATTTTATAATACTAAAAAATAATTGTATTAGGCTGAAAGTGATTTATGAATCAATTTTACAACAACACACTTTTACAGTAATGCAAATTCACTTAACTCTTCTTTTTTCTAACTTTTAAAAAACTTTACCTCAATTACATGGAAACAGTTATAAAAAAGAATTAGGGGCAGTTTATATAAATCAGTCTGGACCATTTAAACAAGATGACAAACAGACTAGCCTAGACCTTGTTTGTTTTTTTGACTAGGATCACAATAAAGTCATATTTTTTTCTTCCATAATACACATGCATGAAAGATATCAACTGCGGGTATTATGCAAGAATCTATTTTTTAGAAAAATAAAAAAAAACAACCCTGGTTTTGTTGACAAAAAATCTATAAAAGTACAACAATTATATTTATCTTGTCTGGGTCACCCACTGGTTTTAAAATTTAAATTATCTAAAAACATTGCTTTTATTGGATTTTTTTGTTTTGTTTTTTATTTATAGCATGATGCTATAGCTTTTCATACATTAAAAATATTTTTACAGCATATCATTCAAACCTTCGTGATAAGATCATTACAATCTTCTTGAAGTCCGGCCTGTTCTATTTAATTATAAATTTCACTATATATTTTGACTCAGGAGACTTGTAAATAATACAACTTTTAGTTTACAAAATTTGTAAATGTTATATGTATGGCAAATATATGAATAAAAACTTTAAAAAAACACATATTTTCACTGAATATATAGTTAGCTGTTAATACATTAAAAATCACATACTTTTGCTGGATATCTTAATTTGGTATATTACTATTATTGCATCAAAAATAATATCTATATTATTCAAAATATTTTTAAATTGCAAAAAATACTTTCAAGGCATTAAGACTGCTAGTGGCAGATCCAGGATTTTTTGAGATCTGATATAAAATATTTTTTGTATTATTCTCAACTAGACTTATATTCATCGTTGAATTTTAAGTCTCATAGTATTATCTCTCAGTGTTCAAAAATTATGACCATTTAAAATTTGTAATACAATGAAATTAAAAAAACAATCAATAAAAGTCTAGTTGAGAATAGTAAAAAAATGTTTTATTAACATGTTGCCTCTCACGCTTGGGGGAAGGGGGTTGGTGAGTGATGGAAGGGGGTTGGGGTGGGGTGAAGTTGAAGGGCTTTTTTGTTCCCAGCCTCAAATCATCAAAATTTTTTTGCAAAGGATCCTTATTTGACATTAGTATAACATATTAATGTTTGGAGTTTGCTCCATGTCTGAAAGTTAGCTATCTTAATCACCAAAATGCCCTGGATCCATCACTGATGACTGAATTAGTGAGTGGATCAAAATCATACCAGAGGTGTGACTCCAAGTTCAAAAAATAAGAAAAAAAGTTATTATGGCACTAAATATAACAAAAATAAAAATACAATTTTTTAAAAATTTAATGAAACAATGAAAAAAAAATTTATTACTAAAATTCTTAGACTAAATAAAATTGAAAAGTTATAGAGTTGTTATTAAAATGGTTTTTAATGATTTTTAATTAAATCCACTGAATCATGTAATAATTAAAAAAGCAAAATTATACTAAATTACCTGTCCATTAGAAAATATTGTGCTACAAGCATTATTACAAACAATATTTAAAAACAGTATTGCAAACAAGCAATATTAACAACAATTATTTAAAAACAACTGTGGAACATTAAAAAAAGAAAAATATCAATAATCAAAGAAATTATTTAAACAAATAAATTTTAAAAAAATGATAAAAATACCTAAAATTGTTTCATTTAATAAATAAGATATCTCGTCAGAAGTTAATGGAACAGACCACATTTTAATTCCAGAAAGAGATGTATTAAGATTTGAATAATTGTAATAATCAGCATACACAAGAAGATATTCATTATACAAACAAGGGTGTGAAGAAACATTTGATGGAATCGCAATGCTAACTAACCTATCACTATTATACAACATTAAAACATCGTTTTGTTTTGACCATACCAGTGTCAGAGTGTAAGGGACTGTAGTTGGATTCTCCATGTATGCTATATAAAAACTGTTATTTGCAACAACTGTGGCCACTATATTGCTATCATTATTTAACTGAATTCTAAATCCATATCCATGAGTATTGTTTTCGTAACCTCCAAGCCCAGCAGATATTATAGGAAAAGAAATACCAGCATCTAAAAGAAAAAAGCTGTTCAGGTAATTTTTAATAAGTTTAATAAAACTAATTTTGAAAAATATTAGACCAAAGTTTTTAATTAAATTTCATTTTCTATTATGGTTTATAATATTAGTAGTTCAAAACCATTAGTTTTATTAAAATTATACTTATTTGGAAACTAATTAGAACTAAAAAATCATAATATCAAAGCATTAAATATTTCTTTTAATTGAAATGACATATTTTTTGAATAAAAATTTTTTTCAGATAAAAGAGTCCCTATTCTTGTATAAATATAAAAAAAGTGAAACAATATTTTTTGTGGTAAGTCATATAAAGTGACATATTGATTTTAACTCATCTTTTAGTAAGAAGTTTAACTTTGAAGCTATCAATACTAGCTGTCTAAGCTAAACTTGCTTTAATAGTAGACAGTTACATAGTCACATGACATAAAAAACTCAGCAAAAATTTATTCTGCACAATAAGAGATGTTCATTTCAGCCCTTAGAATTAGGGTCATCATTCAGCAATGGCGACTTTTGGCGACTAAAAAATTGTCGACCTCTTATTTAAGTTTTATGTTAATCCTTTTGCGTCAAAATTTTTTTGCCAACCTGATGTCAACGTCTAAAAGTTTGAAGTCTGCAATTTATTGCCAGCCTCATTGTTTCCCAGTGTGTTTCTATTTTTTTGCTCAAAATGTTATACTAACAAAGTTGATCTTAAAAGAACATTATTTAAAAGAATTTTAAAAAAAGCCTAAATATATTTTAATTCCTTAACTAATGCTTGCCTAGTGTGCAGTTACATATATTTTAATTCCTTGACTAATGTTTGCCGAGTGTGCAGTTACATATTTACATACTTTAATTTCAATGCCATAAATGTTTTATGTATATCATCAACTATGTATCATCTAATTTTTAAATTACCAAGTTTTCCTTTAAAACATGTATTGCAGAGTTTCTTTAAATAAAAATTTTTTAACTTGATAAATTGAGTTTTTCATCAGCTTACTAAAAAAAATTAAAGTATATAAACCTTTTAAAAAGTATTAAATAGAAAAAATAGAAAAACTGATACTAATTTCCGTTAGACAAACAGTAAACATAAATTACAAAAAAAAAAATATATAAAAAAAAAATTTACAGCATTGTTTAAGCTCTTGATGAATTAAATTAATGTCATTTATTGGCTTAAAATTTATTTATTCATCAAGAATTTTTTTTTTTATAAAGTTAAAATCAAAATTTATTTTTAAATGTAACAATGAGAAGGTTGCAAGAAAACAAAGAGAAAAATAATGAACTACTGAATTTTTAGACAAAAGATTGCTTCAGTTCATTTCAACATATTTTAATCCTTGTATATAATATTATATTTATTTATAAATATTATGCATATAATATTACATATACTTTTTATTTTATTTTCATTTAAAATTATTTATTTAAAATTATTTATAATATTGTTATTTAAAATTTATTTAAAATTGCATAGCATACAAATTAGTTTTACAATTTTTTTTCATAATGTATTGTCTTAAGTTAAAAACTATAAGTGGAAGATTTACCGTCAATGTTAAATACAAAGGTATAGGTGTCAATACCATCTCAAAAAACAAACAATTATACAATAATCTGTCAGGGTTTCTGCCTGTGGTTTTAAAGTTATTGCATGTGTTGTGTTAGATAGCATTTCTTTTTAAGTAATTTTATGTTTGTTTTATCAATAAACTCTACAATATTGTAAGAGATATTGAGTTGCAGTTTATTACATTGATCTTAATAACTTTGAGTAATTGTTTGTGGAATAGTTGAAACTCTTTTGTTGCTTCAATATTGCAAGATGAGAGTATAGAGGTGCTGTACAGAATGTGAGATTATATGAACTTTTATTATGAATAGATTCATATAATCTTCATCCCAGTTATTATTAGGATTCCTAGTTACTTGTAGTAATCAACTGAATTGAATTTGAAGTTTAAAAGAATTGGTGAAGGAATTGCAACTTGATTAGGGTGACACCCTCACTATTGATAATGTTTTGGACTTTATATGATTAAGGTTCATGCCTTTAACAGTAGCCCAGTTCGCTATGCCATCCACAATACATTGAGATTTTTTGCATCTTTGTCATAGATGATGTAAGATAATATATCATATTATCTTACATCATCTATATTTGTAGGTTTGTCTTAGGTGAAAAATTATTTATATTATGTATGAATAATATAAATATATTGGTCCAAGACTACCTACTTGCTACCTTGAAAGACTCCAGCTTCAAATACATTTTCATTTGGTTAAATCCCCAATTGTTTTTACTCTTTGATGATGGTTGAGTCATTAAAGAGTAAAAACAATTGAGCATGTAACATTTACTTAAATTGTTGCACCCATTGAACTATGTTCAGGGAGGAACAGAAATTTGTATTTTGTGGTCCAGATATGCTTTATAAGATTAACAATAAATATGCACAAAATATGTTTAAAGATTTTACGGAGAACAGATGTAATAGCTATTGGCAGATAATCTTCTATAGAAAGTGAGTTTGCTATTTTAGTTATAGGTCCTAAGTGAGTTGATTTCCATTGATCTGACATATGATTGCATTTGATTAGTCAAATAAATACAGAGTGATGAAGATATTTTGAGACAAGATGATTTTAACAGAATTGGAGACAGATTATCAGGGCCTGGTGATCCAGACTTTAGTTTGCTTAGTTGGGTTAGAATATTACTGTAAGTAAAGATGGGATTTGCAGGTTGATCTGCATTTGTGTTAATAAAGATTGAGATATCATAAGCAACTTTATTATTCCAAACGCTTTAATAATGATTGTTTAGTTTATCGGCTAGATTTTCAGAAATTGATGGTTTATTTACAAAATTATTACATTGTTTTGCTTCATTCCAAAAATTAGTGTTGTCTGATATGTAGTGCTTGTTATAAAATATTTTTTTTTTGATGATTGTTTTATTTATTTTGGCAGCTTTCTTCCTCCATTCAATATTTTATTTGATTTTTTATTGCAAGTCTCACTATCTCCAACACAAGCTTTGTTATCTGAAAGTTCCAACATCAAGCGTGTTTGCTTTGGCTTCAAAGTGTTCACCTTTACCTACTTCAACATTGTTTTTTAAAGTTTTAACATCTAATTCAAAGGCTTTGTCATTACAAGTTTCACATTCATCTACCTCAGCTTTGATTTTGAATGTTTCAACATCAAGTATATCTGCTTTGCATTTGAAAAGTTCACTTTTATTTTTATCAGCATTATTATTGGATGTTTTAGCATCTAATTTATTTACTTTGTTATTTCAAGGTTCACTATCAATTTTATCAAGTTTGATTTTAACTGTTTCAACATCAAGTGTGTCTGCTTTGCTTTTGAAAAGTTCACCGTTACCTTCATCAGCATTATTATTGGAAGTTTTAACATCTAGTTCAACAGCTCATTTACAAGTTTCACCATCACCTTCATCAACATTTAGTTTATTTGTTTCAACAGTAAGTGCGTCTGCTTTGGCTTCAATAAATTTACCTTTACCTGATTCAGTACCTATAGTTAAAGTTATAACATCTAATTTAAAGACTTTTTCATTACAAGTTTCACCATCACCTTCATCAGCTTTGATTTTGAATTTTTCAACATCAAGTATGTCTGTTTTGGCTTGGAAAAGGTCATGTTTGCTAACATCAGCATCTTTATTCAATGTTTTTAAAACTACTTCACCTGCTTTGTTAATGCAAGTTTCATCATCGCCCTCATCAAGTTTGTTATCTGAAGATATAACATTAAGTTTGTCTGCTTTGGTTTCAAAAAACTCACTTTTATCTACTTCAGCTTCGTTGTTTAAAGTTTTAACATCTGGTTCAATGGCTTTGTTATTACCAGTTTTACCATCCCCTACATCAGCTTTGATTTTGAATGTTTCAATATCAAGTATGTCAACTTTGTTTTCAAAAAGATCAACTTTGCTTTCTTCAACATTATTATCAGATGTTTCAACATTTAAGCCATCTGCTTTGTTATTGCAAGTTTCATCTCCTACATCTGCTTTGTTAACTGAGGTTTCAACATCAAGTGTATCTGTTTTACCTTCAAAATGTCCCCCTTTATCTACATTAGCATCTTTATTGGAGGTTTTAACATATAATTCATCTGACTTGTTATTGCAAATTTCACTATCTCCTACACATGCTTTGTTATCTGAAGTTTCAACATTAAGTTTGTTTACATCAAGTTTTTCAACATTAAGTGTATCTGCTTTGGTTTCAAAAAATTTACCTTTACCTATTTCAGAATCATTGTTTGAAGTTTTAACATCTAGTTCAATGGCTTTATTATTTCAAGTTTCACCTCCTCCTACATCAGCATTGGTTTTGAATGTTTTAACATCATCTACTTTGCTTTTGAAATGTTCACTTTTATCTACTTCAGCATCACAAACGAGCGTTTTGGCATCTAGTTCAACGACTTCTTTATTACAAGTTTTACCATCACCTGCATCAGCTTTCCTATATGAAATTTCAACACCAAGCATGTCTGCATTGTTTTCAAAAAGTTTACCTTTACCTACATCAGTACCATTAAATAATGTTTTAGCATTAAGTTCATCTGTTTTATTTTGGGAAGTTTCACCATCTGCTTTCTTATCAGAAGTTTTAAAATCAAATAGATCTGCTTCATTATTGGATATTTCAAATTATAGTATATCCATTTTGTTGCTACAAGGTTTACCTTCAACTTTAATCACCTTGTTAGCTTCAACATCAAATGCATCTACTTTGCTACTGCCAGGTTCAAACTTGGCTTCTAATGAATTTTCGCCTAAAGTTTTACAATCTAATCAATCTTCTTTTTTATTGCATAATTTATCAACAACAGAATCAATTTTACTTGCATCAAGTTTGTCTTTTGTTATGTCTACTTCATTGCAAAGTTTAAATCTAAATTCATCTGTTTTAGTATTGCAAGGTGCTACGCCAATTAGTTCTTTTTTGTT